CAGAGCGCGATTCGGCAGAAATACGGCGAAGAACAGCAACAACAACTCCAATCCTAATTTGCAGAGTCCGATTAAAAAGAATAAGTACTTCTCGCTATCGAGATTCTCCTCCGTGTTCAGGAAAGAATCGACGAAGAATCCGGAGCCTGAAACTGCAACCGGATCACACGTCAAGAAAATTAGCTCCTCTGCGAAGGAAGTCATCAGGAAGTATTTAAAGAAGGTCAAGCCGTTGTATGGAAAAATATCTCAGAAGCAGCAGCAGGAATGGAAGATGAAGACGGATCGCTCTGCTAAAGAGGATAGATCATCGGACGTGGAGTTATCAGGCAACAATTCCGGGAAAGAAAGCGGATCGGGAGCACTATCGCACTCGTTTTCCGGTAATTTGAGATATCCGAGAAGAAGAAATTGGGCGTCGAGTTGTCCGTCGTCGATTAGGTCATCGCCGAGCCATTCCGGCATTCTATCGTCTCGGCAAATGTATCCAAGTAGAATCGGAACGACGACGACGAACTACGTCGACACGTCGTCAATGGAGGAGTTGCAGAGCGCAATTCAAGGTGCAATCGCTCACTGCAAAAACTCCATGGTAGGAAGCAAGACGACGACGATGAGTAACGAAATTTGATAATAATAATAATAATTAATTAACCTTTTTTGTTTAACTAATTTAAATTGTTAATTAATTAGACTTGTTTGTGTCTGTACTGTAGTGTCACGTCTCTGCTTGCTTTTAGGAGGAACTCCTCGTTTGAAATTCTTGTAATTTTCCTCCGTTCCTATTTTTTCTCTTTTTTAATTTCTCTCTCATGTCATGTTCTGATGTTTTTATTTGACATTTTAGAATCTAATCAAGTCTTGCGACTGTAGCCTTGGAAACTGTAATCAAAGCTTTTGTGTTTTTGGTTGATCTGAAAGGTCTATTAAACTTTTAATGTATTCTTAATGATACCTACGGATCTACCTGATTGGGCCAGAGCCAGAGCGTTAAATTTTGCCTACGTGGCGGAATTTGTTTGGTTGCTGTGACTGTGACATTCGAAAATTCACCCGTCTGTCGTGTTAGCAACTTAAATTATCACGCGGTCAACGCGCTCCCCTTTGAATTACCGGTAGACAGAAAATAGTGCGAGGATTTTTTTTTCTTTAGAAGATAGCCTTCAAAGTTATACAAAACAAAAGCTTTGACCCTCTACCTTTTACCTTTAGTTTACCTTTCTTCATTTTGCCTCTGTCTTTTTTTTTGTTTGGTAAAGTATTGGTCTATTTTTAAAGATGTTCCAAAATAGAACTTTTTATTTTTATTTTTAGCAATGAAATTATATTATTTGATTTAAATGTTATTTTAATTTAATATTTTTTTCGTTTTTGTTTTATACTTATTTTAATGTTTGCATTTTTAAATGTTATTTGTTTAGTGTTTCTATACTTTTAAAAAGAATATGAAAATGTCAAATCGAGCATATAACTCAAGTTCAAACCCCGTACTCAAAAAAAGAGTATGGAAATCTTTTGAGATTTTTTTTTTAGAGTATATCATGCAGGGTAGAATTTGTAATTTTTTTTATTAAAGATATATGCCGATTAATTTGGTAATTTTTTGATAAAAATTTCTACATTTCAATAAATTTAATGGGTAAAATCTCATGTTAAAGTTATGATTAAAAAAATATAAGAAAAAAATGAAATCTAATAAAATAGTTACTTCTTGAAACAACACATTAAAATAAACAAAATTGAAATTAGAGAAAATTGAAAGAGACTGATATAGTATTTAAACCTATTTACTTTTAGGTTTAAATCTACGTAAATTCATTTTAATTTAATCTAAAATATCTTATATCAATATCACTTATATAATTTTTCCTTTAACATGTGTGTCATTCAAACAGAGTCAGATTCAACTTTTTATTTGTGAAAGAGATACTAATGTTTTTATTCATTTAAATATGTTAAATGGCTATTCCCATTTTTCCAATATTTTAAAAAAATGTGTGTTTAAATAAGGTTGATCAAAACTAAGCATCTAAATATAAGAGATGTATTTCAAAATGGGCCAAGATTTTATGCAAGACAGATCCACATTGATTCAAACAAATAAAAATCAGCTAAGATTGAAATAAAAGAAACAATGTTATTAAATTCAATAATCAATTTAAGTTGAGTGGAAGTTGGTCGATTTTCTCCTTCCCCTCTATTTATGCCAAAATCCCAACTACCAACTTTACTGGTTTGAAATATATTATATTTTGGAATATAAACTTTACATATAAAATATATACTTGGGTCATTATCGGTACATTTTTCAAGAATTGATAAAGTGAAGGTTAAAAAATGCTTACACTGAAATAATTTAGTCCCTGAATTTTAGTTCGTAACGATTTAATCCTGTACTTTCACTAAAATAATAGTTTAGTTCTTGAACATTAGTTTATAACGATTTAATCTCTATAGTTTAAAATTTGTAACAATTTAGTCTTTATCGTAAAATTTTTTATTAAAACTACGTGTAAAATTTTATTATATAACAATTTAATATTTTTAATTTATAAAGTCCCTCTTTAATTTATCAATCTATATATATAAGAAAGTTAACAAAAAAAAAAGAAAAAATTAGATAAGGACTAAATCATTACAAACTTTAAATTACAAGAATTAAATTGTTACATATTAAATTTGAAGGATTAAATTGTTAGGACTAAATCATTACAAACTAAAGTTCATGGACTAAATTATTACTTTAGCGAAAGTAAGGGATTGAAAGTGTTTTTTAACATAAATTGAAAGTTGAGTATGGTTAAATTAAAATAATTATAATAAGGTTAAAATACTAGTTTGGTCCCAGTACTTTGAGTTCTAGTTCATTTTAGCCCTTATACTTTTAAAATGTTCGTTTTGGGCCTTGTATTTTCTACTTTTGTTCATTTTGGTCCCTGTATTTTGAAAATGTTTATTTTGGTCCCTATACTTTTAAACAGTAACCATTTTGGTCATTTCATTTTATTTTAAATCTCATTTTTCCTATAACAATTTCAACACCACATTATAATCAAAATATATTCCTTACAATGTAAATATTACTTTATACTAAATTGTTTTCATTATGAGTAAAATTTGTGTTAAAATCTTGCGAAGAGAGACTAAAATGATCACTTTTTAAAAGTAAAGTGACCAAATTAAAATGAACATTTTCAAAGTACATGGACTAAAATGAACTTAGGCTAAAAGTACAGGGACCAAAATAATATTTTAACCTAATAATAATAATGAAAAAGAAACTAATAAAATAAATGCAGTTTTTTTTTTTTTTTTTTATGGGTATGGGATTTTGAAAATGAAAATGGATGTGAGGAAAGGATGTCATAAATGCAATGCAATGAAACGAAGAGCAATAGAAGTAAATAGGAAGATTTAGCGAATTGGGTAATGGGTAGGTTAAAAGTCTGTCTTGCCTTTGACGGAAGAATAATATTTAAGTGTTAATCGATCCAAACTTATTAATTATATTTTTAAATATTAAACTATTTACATGTAGGAGAGAGAAATATAAGAAGAAATATTTTTTTTTTCTATTTGTCAATAAAATAAATAGTTTTCAAATTCTTAATAATGGTTCGCATGAACATAGATGTTGATCAGCCAACAAAATATGATTAAATATAAGCAGGTTTCTTTTCTTGGTCTATTTAAAATTTATTAGTTTATGAGACATTGTTAGATTGCTTCCGTTTAAGACTTATATTGATAATTTGAATGGTGAAATTTACCTTAGATTTATTGTGTTAATTGTTTAGAAAATTAATTTTTAATTTGGAATTCCTCCATAAAAAAAAAACCGAATTCTCCATAAAGAAAATATAATTAGTAGCAGTGAAGATAGTTATTAACTAGACTTAAATTTCGTGGGCAGTAACCAAAATTAAATAATAAACGACATTCATTTTCTAATTTTAAGGGTTCCTTTGATAATGTTCATGAAATGGACCATGACTCTAACGTGATAAAATAAAAATTGTATTTATGTTTTGGAACAAATTGAAAAGGAGAACAAGAAATAATAAATTTATTTGGGTTGTTTCTAAAATTTGTTTACAATTTTGAGAATGTTTTCAAAAATTGAGAAACAATAAACATAATTAATTGTAAAATGTTTAAATTTCTAAGAAAATTATAAACGATAAACAAGAAACTGGAAATGTTAGTAAAGGARCAATAAATTTCCTGTCTTTTTCTATTTGCTAAATATGCTTCTTAATTCACTTGAATTTTTCTTTTTAGTTTTAATTTAGTGATTTATTTTTTTAATACTTTTAATTATATATGTACATGTGTATTTAGTCTTGAACTTTAGTTTGTAATAATTTAGTCAATCAATTTGAAAGTGATTGCAATTTAGTCCTTAAACTTTAGCATGTAACAATTTGGTCTCTGTTTCAAGTGACCAAATGTGTTTATAAATTAAAAAGAATAAATTGTTCGATGATAAAAATTGACTCTTAATTTTGATGAGATTTTCACGCTCGGGACTAAATGGTTACAAATTTTAAACTATAGAGATTAATTTGTTACATACTGAAGATTATTAATTAAATTGTTATCGAGTGAAAATATAATGACTAAATCGTTATGAATTAAAGTTTATAGAACTAAACATTACTTTAACGAAAGTATCATGACCAAATATATTTTGAGACTATTTAAACTCTATTTTTATCTTTTGGATTTGGCTCAATTTGGCCAGTCTAGTTTTCAAAATTTTATTTTAGTCTATATACCTCTAAAACACTTATTTTGGCATGAGAACTTTAAATAAGATGAAATTGTTGTTTATTTATAATCAAAGCTTAATTATTCTAATTTTGGCTCAATTTGTTCTAAAGCTTTAAATAAGATATAATTATTGTTTAGTTACCCCACGTGTACTTAAAAAAGAATAAATTATTGTTTAATTATTAGTCCAAAATCTATTAAATTCTAAGCCAACTTAAACATCAATTTGATTGAACATATTTTCTTGGACTAAAAATATAAGTTTCGAAACTCTGCCTTTATATGTTATTGTATTAAAAAACAAGTTAAAAAATAATTAAAAAAAAAAGTTATGTAAAGTACCTATCGTACCCCTCGCATTTTTTGAATTTGGTATTCCGCCATTACACGGCAATCAAAGCTTATCCCTTAATTAGTAATTCAATAATTAATGACAAGATTTTAAAAGATCTGATATCGACTCGTGATATCATTTATTTTAATAATTATTAAGTGGTTGTGATTTAAATATATCGTATTATTGTCAAGGTTTTAAAAAATGACAGAATCTCAATTTCATGAAAATATTTATAAAATTATCGATAAAATGGGATGGATTAGAAAAATTAGAAAATCATACAAAATATTTAAATTAACAAATAAATGTTTTTATATTTCTAAATAAGTTTACAATAACTAATATTAATATTATGTATATATTAGTGTCGTTTTGTTGATATTTTTCATTTTCTTTTTGTAATACGATTAAAATGTTGATTTATCCCTCATGTCAACGTAACATTTATGAATACATGAAAACATTGATAGATATGTCGACGTATTGACAGATATTTAATACAATGATTATTATTTTAAATACAACTATTAAATTATGAAAAAAAAAAAAAAACCTTCTATTTGTAACGAGCCTGACCTTATTGTTGGAAGTTGAATTATATGTTCTATGTATAGCTATCTTATTAATTAAAAATTTATTGTTAAAAATTTATTGTGAAAAAACAACATAGGTTTGGAGAGTATGATATTAGACTTAGTTGAGATATTTTATCTACTAGAGAATAATTATCGTGAGAAGATCTGTCAAATCGAACATAGATCAAAGGATAAAAAAACATATTACAATCCTTAAAAGGATGGTTC